GATTACTAGTAAAGAACATTTACTCATCTGTGTCATGAATATTCTGGGTCCCAATAAAAGTCCTATAAACCATTTACGTGGTTTCCTGGAAGCCATGTTCATTTTACATGGCTTGGTTCATTGTTTATTGCTGACTGGACCAGAATGGGTACTTGGCCCAAGCTACACTAATCACATTCTCTCTCGAAAAAGGAAGTTCAGACGTAGTCTGTCAGCCTCTACATGTATGTTGAATTGTGATATGTACACTCAAGAGCTGTCAAATGGCCATATGTGGACCATGGAGCAGAGAAAGCTGGTCTTTAGATGAATGGAGCAGAGGAAGCAAGCAGAGATGGAGTGAAGAGACTGCCTGGCTGCCTCTTGCCTTTCTAGTTCCAGTTTCAGGCCCCTCCTGAGGCCTGGCGGCCTTTGAGTTCTAGAATACCGCCCCGTATCTTATTCAACAACCATCCGCCAACCCGCCTTTCTTACTCTTTCTCCTTATCTCTTTCTGTCTTTTAATACTAGCTAAGCTGTTTTGTAGTGTGTAACCAAAGAGTCTTAACTCAGACACCATGCAATAGTTAACACACCCTCCATAGGACAGCCCACAGTACAGGTCAGATGCATTTGGATAATGAAGTGCATCACAGTAACTAAGACTCTGTAGGTAGGCTTAAGATATGTGGACTTTTCAATAATTTCCTAGTGTATGATAAATACTGATAAGGTAATACTGATTTATATGGATAAACTAGCTTATATACTTATTTATCAGAAAGTTATAGAATAATAAAACATGTATTTCAAAACTCAAATTCAGATCTGCTTGTTCCCAATGAACCAAAAATAACGAGGTTTTTCCATAGTGACAAATGACTCATATACTAATGACATTTTTGAAATAAAATAATTTTGAGATTATAAACTTTTAAAGTTATGAAAAAAGAGACTGGTCATTTGAACTTTTATAAACTATCTTGATAAATTTAAGGGCACCAGATGATATAAAAAAGATTTATACCTAAAATGTACCAAACATCAGACACCTATTAAAATAAAATAGTTATGCAAATAAAGTAATGAATAAATTAACACTTAGTAAGAACTTGCTATGTGCCAAGAACTGTTCTAAGAATTTTTCATCTGAATCTCCCCAAAATTCTATGAAATAATTCTTATGCCTGAATTACATGGAGTCAAATGACTTACCCAAAATTTCACAGCTAGTAAAAGGTAGATATTTAAACCTAGGTAGACTGTTACCACTATTCTAAAGTCCAAAGAAGACAAGTAGACGAACTAGGATTGAAAGAACGTAAGTTTAGAAGCCAGAAGTTTTGGAAAACAATTTCAGAAAACCAAGAAAAATCTACAATCTTCTAAGTTAAAACAAACAAACAAAAACCATGTAGATTATTAATGATTCTTACCGGGGGTTAGAAGAAGGTGGGTTCATTTCTTTCTGATAGTGGTGACCCTGGTTGACAGGCTGTAAAAGACAAAACATTTGTGAATGTTTAATCAGCACAAACCTATTTACATGTAAATTCACATGCACTCTCATTACTGTAACTGTTTCCTTGGACACAACCCACAAGAAGGGTATGGGTTTATTTTACAGATCCAGCAAATTGCAGAGTGGTATAAATGAGAAATCACATTTATCATTATTATTATTTTAGTGGCCCAGTCATTGGACCTCAAAGCATCTATGATGTAATTAAAGTTCATTTATTGAGATTTTCCTCTTTGTGGAATTTTTATGCTGTTAACATTGGTTGATATTTTCAGACACAGGAAAACAAAACCAAACAAGATATCTCATGGAACTAATGCTGCAGTTCAAGCATCATTAATAACAGAAACCCAGACACACAGAAAACATATCTAGTCTCAATGTTAGTAAGTTTGTAAAGATAATTTCTATTACCACTAATGAGAATTACACATGTAAATCTTAGGTCAAGGTGGTCATTTTCGCCAAGTGTATAACACAACCTCAAGTACTGATCAACAAGCTGAAAAAAATGATGCCAATACCTAACAAAAATGTGAAATCTCAAATATTCCCTCCACAAGAAACCTTTCAGTTACATTTCAAAACATAGCTGAACAACTATATCTCATGTAGCCTTAAACACTTGCTTCCAACAGGACTTGATCTTTTTCCTTTGTTCTATAAAGGGAGAAAATTCCGTCCTCTGTTTGAACATCAGCTCTAAGTATTTATGTGGTTAGCAACAACGTTTCTAATAAGAAATCATTTTCAACGTTCTCATTTTATTACAACTTAGTTTAGTATACATGTTTAAACTGCATTCAAAGAGCTTTAGCTACTTCCATACCCAGTGGAGTTGGTGGTTAAGGGTTTCTCACCCATCATAATGTGGCCCCTGACTGAGGAAAACAACGTAGCCATGGTGCCTGTATATACAGAGCTCATACTCCTTAGTTTCTAGATATTTCTCATTACAATAAGTCTCAAAATATTAATGACGTAGGTGATGGAAATTCTTCAGAGTAAACTGTCTTCCTCTATAAATTATCTCTTGGAAGTGTTCCTTTAATTTAAATCAAACACCCCATCTGATAATCACAGTCACTTAGCCTGACTACCTGTTATGCACCATGAATTTAAATGTACTCAGATACTTTGGTAATTGAACCAATATCAATGCATCACCATTTCAGTAATAAGAAACAACAGCTGGGAGAATAGTGGAAGGAAAAACATGTCATAAGACATATTTGATCTCACTAGAGAAATAAGACTTTCAGCGATTTGCAAGTGAAATTTGGTTCTATGATTTAGGCTTTATTATTTCACAGCAAAAAAGAAATTAGCAAGCAAAGGGCCTAACAGGTTCTCTGGACGAACTCACACTGGTATAGAAATACTCCCAATAACAAATTCATTGGTATTCGTCCAGTATTTCAGCTGTACTCAGGCCTCCAGTGAATGGACCTCTGCCTATTTATTTTCAGAGGCATTTCCATAACTCTCTAAGCATCACAGTACTGATATTCAGGTGAATTTCCATTTCTTAATTTTATACTATTAATTCTATTTATACCCATCCCCAAACCTCTATTCCAAATGACTTACTCCATCCCTTGGAAAATAGAAGTGGTTACAGAATCCTATCTTGTTTGTGACTCAGCCCCTCCTCGCTTTGGACTATACAGACTGATCCCTTTCCATCTTTGCTCATAGTGATTTTTAAGTGTTAGAAAAACAAAAAAGTAACCAATGGAAACTTTTCAAATAAAAACTGCTGACATGAACAGATAGAAAGGTGAACAACTAGCTGTCTGAAGCCAGACATCCTCACCTACAAATGGATATTAATGGAGTTCAGGACATGGCATTCGCAGTAGCAGGAAGGTCACTCTCACCTTCCCCTGTTCTCCCCTGCAGCTGGTCATAAAACATAGGTAGGATTTTCTGACCACCTCCTGGAGCAGGTCATAAGATGCTCATTTGAGAGATGCCCTCCCTATCCCCTGAAGAAAGGAACATCCTTATCTCTGAAGACACAACGACACAGAGAAGAATCTGAACAAAGGTTTTGCTGATTTTCTTCGTTTATTTCCATTAGCTCATATCTCCTTCGCCCAATCACATTTCTCCACCACTTTCCCCTCTTCATCAAACCTAGAGTAAAAATATTCAAGTTTCACTGTTTGTTCAGTTCTTCATTTCCTTATAAAGACTCTTGTATCATGGAAAACTTACATGAAATAAATTTGTATGTTTTTCTTTTGCTAATCTGTCTTTTGTTACAACAGAGGCCTTGGCGATGAATCCAGGATGGATGAGAAAAAGATATTTTCCTCCCCTACAATATGTTTATATACATATGTAGCAGTAAATCTATTTCTAGGTAGGTAGCATGCTGTGAAAGTACCAATGAAATAATACAGAATTTGTTTCGATTTTGGCATTCAGCCATACCCAGAGAATATCGTAAGTAGATGCAAAGGGATGGCAACCAGTATCTACAATGAACTATGACTATCATCATAATGGCAGTGACTGATAGTTACTGAGTACTTATGTTAATTCTTGGTAGATATGATCTCATTTGATCCTTAGAGCAATTCTATGAAATAAATAGGATGAACAACTCCATTTAACAGAAGAGGAAATTGACACTGGGTATTAACCCAGGATCATGCCTGCCGGGAAGAGTGGAGCTAGAATGTGAACCCAGGCAGTCTGAGTCCACAGCTTACCTTCCTAACCACTTGTCTGTAGTGTTTATTCCAGCTCGAGAGTGCATCTAGAGTGGTGACTATTTAAGTTTTTGAATAACAAATATGACAAAATCAGTTCTGTTTGTGGCAGGAAAAGTGACCCTGAAGAAATACATTTATTTGAAATATATACGACTCTCCTTACCACAAATTAAATTCATTGGTTTTATTCTCAAGATATATCATTATGTATTTAAAATTTAAAAAATGAATTTTGCCACGTTACTAAATTTGGGACAATCATAAAATATAATAGACAGTACTCTGAGAATAAGAAAAATTTATTTCCTGGGGTGACTTTCATAGTCACTAAACAGAACAACTTGCACATTTCAATATTTCCTCCTGACAGTACAGATATTACACTGACTCTAATATCAGTTTTTGTATATCATTTCTATAGCTGTATAAGAACATCTGCTCATATGATTTATCTGCAGCTTAGCACAATCAACTACATACCTTTTTAGTTCAGAAGGATAAAAGAAAACTCATTCTACCCAAAGAGAGCTGAGAAGTTAATGAATCTGTAGATTAGAACAAATTAAAACCTATTAACTATAAACAGCCTGAAATGCCAATATATTATATTTTGAATACACAGCAACCAGGAATATCATGCAAAAACGCTGATATGCTGTCGAACAAAGAAATGGAACAGATCCCAGAAACTCAGGACCTCGGCCTTTTGGTGGCGCTGTTGCTATGTGCTAGTGCCAGGCAAACAGTATTCATATAAAATTAACTACCACGGAGCACAAGAAGCTTTGCTTTTCCATGATCAAGCTGCTAGAGATTTTGGGGTGAGGGAGTGAAATGAAGGCGAAATAAAAGAACAGGAGATAAGATAATCCTGCCATGTTAAAAGGTAAAGACAATATTTTTATGTTGTTATGTGAAACCTATGAAAATGGCAATAATGTTGTTGCAAGGTTAATCAAGACCATAAATAATTTGTCTGAGAACCTCACCATATGCTGGCAATTTTATTAAGTGTATTTTGCCTCGTTATTCTCCAAATATTATGCTCTGCAACATGCCATGTTGATGGATGCATGCAATGAGTTTTTCTTTTCTTTTTTTCTTTTTTTGTAAGCTAGAGACTTATGTGCTTGATATTAGCTTATGGGAATTCTTTTTTTTTTTTTTTCCCCAAGAGATGGGGTCTCATTATGTCACCCACACGGGCCCTAAATTCCTGGGCTAAAATCCTCCTTAGCCTCCCAATTAGCTGGGAATACAGACCTGTGCCACCATGCCCGGGTCAGGTTATGTTAATTATTAACTTGAAGGAATGACATTCTGCTCACAGGGAAGCTGCACAATAAACCTACTTTTCTTGAATCTACATCTGAGGAGGGACAGTGAAATGAAATATTGAAATAATGAAATAATAAAGGAGTTTATTTTTAAGGATCTGAGGGAGCCAGTCTGTATGCCAACGGTTAAACTCACATCAAAACAAGCACTACAGAATCTCTGCTTACTGCTTCAGGTCTCAGTCATCATAAAAAGGGAAAATGTCCTAGAAATTCTGTTTTGATCACTCAAGTGGCCCTTTGAGGAGAATAACCTCAGCGGAACAGCAGTTGACAGTCAGTGTGAGCTTACTCTGCTAAGCACTGGGCACATGCATTTCATGTACTCATTCGATTTGCATAATGCCAACATTAGGAAGGTTCTTTTATCATTCCCATTTCAAAGATGATCATGTCCAGAAATGGCAGAGCTGGGATTTGAGCCCAGGTTGACCGATCTAGAGTTTATATTTGTTTGGGCATCACATGAAGCAGTGCCCATTGATAGCTATTCTTATTCCTTAAAAAAAGAAACACATACACACACACACACACACACACACACACACACACACACGACATGGCTTTATGCTATCGTCAATCAAAATCCTTCACCAAGATAAAATTCACTTAAAATTCATTATAACTAACTCCTATCGCCCTTCCGAAGGCTGCCGAGAGCCCAGTTTGTGAATAAATCTCACGAGGGCTACTCCTAACAGAAACTCTTCAAAATTGATTACTTGTAGCCTGGTTTCCACAGAAGTTGTAAAGTATTGTTTTAATTGAATTTGGTTCTAAGTTAGAAACTTTGAAAAATTTATCTGTCAAAGGTCAATGGATTTCTCAGTAGGCTTGATTTATTTAGCAAGAGATGCCTACAAAAGCCAATTTGCTATGAGGAATATGGTTACATTTAATTACACTTTTAAATGACTAATTTATTATATCTAAACACCTTTTAAACAGTACATATTACTCTGAACTGTACAGATGCTGAGGAATCAAAGTTTGTGGTAAACACAATGGATTTTGCTAAAGACTCTTCATTTTACTCTGCATAGGCTTTCTGGCTTCAGACTGCAATGTGTGTGAAGTCGTCAGGTAAAAATGCTAAACTGAATGGGACCTGACTACATCTCTTTTTCTTCCTATTGGCAATCAGGTCCTGCTCAGAAGGAGATTTTCCTTTGGGTGTATATTTAATATCCATTTATCAAATCTTGAATTGAACATATTACATGTATCACTCAGGATTTATTTAAGCAAAGCAAAGCAAAGCTGATGTTTATTTTGGAATCTTGATGAAAATTACCTTATTTTAGAGTAAAAAATGAATTTTTAAAAATTATGCTTTAAGTTTTGGGATACATGTGCAGAATGTGCGGGTTTGTTACATAGGTACACACGTGCCATGGTCGTTTGCTGCACCCATCAACCCATCATCTACATTAGGTATGTCTCCTAATGCTATCTATCCCTCCCCTAGCCCCCAACACTCCAATGGGCCCCGCTGTGTGATGTTCCCCTCCCTGTGTCCATGGATTCTCATTCTTCAACTCTCACTTATGAGTGAGAACATTCAGTGTTTGGTTTTCCTGTGTTAGTTTGCTGAGAATGATCGTTTCCGGCTTCATCCATGTCCCTGCAAAGGACCTGAACTCATATGTAAAAAAGGAATTTTTCAAAACATTATTGATTCATTCATTCAAGTAATGACTGACAACTGGCTGTGATGCCTTGTGCTAGCATTTGTGCTCCAACATAGAAGGTATGAAAGAACACAGGCAGGGTTCTCTCTTCAAGGAATTCACAAGCAGTCTTGGGGATATTGGTAACATTGGTTAGCTGATGTCATAAGTGCTGTAATTGAGCGTGAAGGTAACAGGGACCCAGAGAGGGAAGCGAATAATTCTGTTCAGGGTGGGATGAGGGTTTAGGAGCATTTCAGGAAGCAGCGACAAGTGAGTTGGGCCTTCAGAAATAAGCAAAAGGAGGGATAAACAGTCAGAGTACAGAGGATTTTAGGGCAGTGAAACTACTCTGTATGATACTATAATGGCAGATACATGTCACTATACCTTTGTTCAAATCCATAAAATTCACAACACCAGGAGTGAACCCTAATGTGAACTACGGAGTTTGGGTGATAATGATGTGTCAATGGAGGTTCATTAATTGTAACAAATTACCATTCTGGTGGGGGACACTGATAATAGGGTTCCTCTCAATTTTGTAGTGAACCCAAAACGGCTCAAAAAAACTACAAGTCTTTAATAAAAAATTAGCCAAAAACCAAAAAACCAAAACAGAAATTAAAAAGCCATTTTCTAAGTAGAGAGGGAGCTGCCAGACAGAGAAGAGATGAGCAAGGCGTGAGCTGAACACAGGGCACGGCTCACCAAGTGACAGCCAAGTCGACAGTGTGGCAGGAGCAGAGTGGCTCCCCTGTGTGTATGTTGGGTGGGGGGTGGGTAGTGAGACAAGCAAAACTCATTTCAAGTGCTATGCAAGCTGACAGAGAAACAAAGGCACTAACAGGAGGTTATCTTGCTTAAGGAGAGACTCCCCACTGTCCCCGCCACCACAGACTTAATTTGGCTTCCTTTTGGAACTTGGAATTCCATTCCCCTCTTGTCTACATGGTGAACTTGAACTCATTCTTGAACTTCAGCTTAACTGTTGTCTTCTCTGTAAAAGCATCCCTGAAACCCACAGGTGGAATCGCCCCCTCTCATGTGTTCCCATAACTCATTATTCTATCACTTGCCATCCTGAGTTACAGTCAGCCATTCACCTGGGCTTCCCCTCCAAAACTGTGCACACCTCAAGCTTGGATAAGGCTTTATCTGTATCCTCAGAAGCCAGCCTAGTTGACAGTACATTGTACCACTCAAAAACATATGTGTGGAATGAGTGAATGTGAGACAGACAAGCAAGCTTGTGGTGAGAGTTTTCAGGGAGATACTCCTGACTCTTGTGGCAGAGAAGGTGTATCCTTCACAATGAGGCCTGAAGAAGGGCTACAGTGACTTTGGAGCTAAGTCTTGAGGATAATCAGGTCCAAGGTACAGGGATAATGTGCAAAGTGCATTTAGAGAATTATAAGTGGGACTATAGAATGGAGTGAAAGGTGGGGTGCAGTGAGAGATGAGGCTGGAGAGAGGGCAAGTCTCAGATCATGGGGGCTCCTGTATGTCAAAGTAAAGAGGTGATGGGGAGTCACTGAAAGGCTTTACGTAATAAAGAGATCAGATCATATCAGATGTGGGTTTTAGGAAGATCACTAATGTGAACAATAATGATAATAATAATGACAGCTAAACTTCATTTATTAAGTACTTATGTCTCAGATACAGTGCCAAGCATTTTATAAGGGTCACAGCTTGGATTTGAACCGTGGTAATTTGATGTCAGAGCTGATGCTCCTAACCACCAGGTTACAGTGCCTTGACTGGAGGCACAGAGATGTTAGGGGACTATTGAAGGAATTCAGATGAAAAATAAAGTGCATAAACCATAAAAAAGAGGAAAATCATGTCCTTTGCAGCAACATGGATGCAGCTGGAGGCCATTATCCTAAGCAAATTAATGCAGGAACAGAAAACCAAACACTGCATGTTCTCACTTATAAGCAGGAGCTAAACATCAGGTACTCATGGAAATAAAGATGTCAACAATAGACACTGGGGACTGCTAAAGGAGAGAGGGAGGAAGAAGGCAAGGATTGAAAAAGTAACTATTGGTTACTATGCTCAGTACCTGCATGACTGAAGCATTTGTATCCCAATCTTCAGTATCATGCAATGTAGCCTGGTGACAAATGTACACATGTACCTCCTGAATCTAAAATAAATATTGAAAAAAAATAAAGTGCATAATCTGTCATGGGATTAAGGGGAAAAAAGAAAAACGGAAAAGTGCCAAGGCTGTGGTATTAGGAAGGGTGGGGTAAGAGATAAAAAGGAGAGAGGATTCTTAGGATTTGGAGACCAGCCAAATGTGGGATAAAGAAGTGGGAGAAATGAAGATGTCTTCCAAATTTCTGGTTAAAGGATCAATATGGATGTTGACATTATTCACTGAGATAAAAGAAGAGTGGGATAGGCCGGGCACGGTGGCTTACCTGTAATCCCAGCACTTTGGGAGGCCAAGGCGGGTGGATCATTTGAGGTCAGGAGTTTGAGACCAGCCTGGTAAAACCCCATCTCTACTAAAAATACAAAAAATTAGCTGGGCCTGGTGGTGGGCGCCTGTAATCCCAGTTACTCAGGAGGCAGAGGTTGCAGTGGGCCAAGATTGAGCCACTGCACTCCAGTCTGGGCAATAGGGCGAGACTCAGTCTCAAAAAAAAAAAAAAAAAAGGGGTATTATTGTGATGAATAAAGTTATGAATTTTTTTATTTCTTCTTTTTCACTGTCCCTGTGCAACTTTTAAAGAGAAAAGCATGAGCTGTCAAAAAGACCACAATGATGCTTGTAAAATTGCTCTATCTAAACTCTATACAAGCAGCGAGTTACAGAGTTCATTAAGGAATACAATTTTCCATTTGGCGGTAGTTCCAATGTTAGATAGACTGACTCTGATGCAATAATAAACATATCTCATGAGTACCAAAGGTAGACTTTTCAATATTTTCTCTGTCTAAAAAAATCAAACCATTTCAATTTCTCATTTGGTCAAATAGAGGGGTTATTAAGTTCATTACCAAAGGTCTTATTTTTGTCTGTATACTTTTAGAGTGGAATAGATGTCATGCAGGAGATTTCAGTCCTTCAGAACAGGAGAGTGATGAGAACATTGTATCCAGGGCAACTAAGAGTTCAGCCTTTTCAGTCCATAAATAATCATTCCTCAGGTTGCCCTTTGTAATGTTGGTCTCCAAGCTACTTCATGACAGAATGAGCTCGATCAGGAGGCCACTGTTCTCTTTCTTACTTGCAGTTTAAATGACTGCTGTGGAATATTTTATAAGAAAGGCAATGTTTCAATTCTATTGCAAATTGTACTGGTAAAAATCTGCAACTGACTCTTATGATCTTAGCTTGGCTACAAGGATACTCTAACCAGAGTAACCAGAAGTCAGATATTTTTCTGGGTGGGTGGATACTTTTTGGCACCAAGGCTGCCAGAGGTGTTATGTATGCTTGACAGTTGTGTTTAATGAAAGCACAACTGAGGCGAGAGAAACCTGAAGGTATGCAAGGTAGGGATAAAGAGCACTAATCCCCCCATCAAACCAAATGGAATTTCTTCTCCATGAAGACTTGTGTAAGTTCTCCCCAGAGCACAGAAATCTCACCTTCCATGGGATATCCACATATCCACTAGATAACACTCATTTGACAACTGAGTCACCACATCATGGTGGTCAGGAGCCCAGACTTAGGAGTCAGACCAGGTTAGGTCTGATTCACTTTACTCAAGAGCCTCCATTACTCAAGAGCTCTGCAACAGTGCTTACCACACAGAATAGCCATAAGGAGTAAACTAGATAACATGTAAGGCATTAGGTGCCAGGGCCTCTGAGATTTCCAAGATCTACAAAGATGTTGGAGACCTGGAAAAAACTGGCTTTAAAATACGAAAAGCAAATCACAAAATTCATATGTATTTAATTAAATACTTAAAACCTAACTTATCCACTGTCAACTATGCTTCAACTCAATTTTTATATAGTTATATATAAATGAGTAAAAGTTATTTTATGTTTTCTTTAAAAATTTTTATAGCAAAAACATATTTACTTTTGCATGAAAGTATATTTTAGTCGGTTTGCTATGATATTGAATGTAGCCTTATAAGTAAATGTTTCTTAGGCCTGCGGAGGTCTCAAAATGGCTCTAGGTACTTAAAGCAATGGTAGCTCTAATTATCATTATTATACCAATGATTTTATTATTCTGCTTTATGACATTTCTTGTGCCGTACTGAACTGTTCCACTGATGTTTATGCTCTGTCTTTCCAATTAAGTTGTAAGGTCCCTGAGAACAGTATTGTAGAGAACGGACTGAGTTAAAAAACTGGGCTCCGCTCTGGGCTCTGCCACTGACCAGGTGTGGAAGCTTGGACCCACGCTTCAGTTTCTTCACCTGAAAAACAGGAAGACTAAGACCTATTCCAACTCCTCTGCTGGGCCATAGTGAGGGCAATGGGCCATACTGAAGTGCTTTAACTATGGAAACACATGGGAATATAAGCTTCTGAAGCATCCACAGTGCCTATCATAGCCCATCATCCACAGGGAAGAGTCAGTGAACATCTGGTGACTTCTACAGAAGGTTCTTTTCTGTCTTCATATCCAAGCAGTACTTGTATAACTACAGTCTTTTCCTCTGTGTTCATTCATTTCATACATATATATTTAACAAATATTGAGCCTCTTGTATGTGCCACAGGGCTTGTACTAGGAACAGGGGATACAATGGGACACCCAGTGTCTACAGTAAAATTGTTCTTTTTGTTCTTTCAATGTGTGGTTTGATATATCATCATACAAAGCTTTTCTGAAGGTAAATAAAACAATTTAAGAAAAGACTGTCATCTTCTAACTTCCGTCCCCCATTCTAAAACACTATTTCAGAATGGACTCTGATTATTTCTCATAGGGAGTGTTCTCATTTTGGTCCTGGCTTTTCCAGGCAAAGCTGGGATTTGTTAGAAAAAAGCTTGCTCCTTGTTAAGCAATGAAGCTTGCTCCTTGTTAACCAATGAGAGGAAGCTGCAAAGCCAGGGACTCACGGGTGGCAGGCAGGAGTTCCAGGTGGTTGTGTCGTCACTGCTGGTACTTATGCTGACATTACAGTTGTCCACCTGGGAGGCACTCAGGCCATGGGAAGTCCCAGCATCCTCTAGTTCTTCATTTTGTTGCCGCCGTAGGCTCGCCAGCATCTGTAACTCGGATTCACTCATCTGGCTCGGCTGATAGTTTCGCCAGTCATATTCCTGACCAAGAAAGAGGAAAATAACAAAGGGTCATTTGGCCTTTGCTAATTCTATGGCTATTAACAATGCCACAGCCTTAACCCCTGCAGCAGCTCCCCAATTGACAGAGGCACAAATCCCTAACATGCCTCCATGCGCTACCTGCCCCATCCATTATACCGCCTCCTGTCTGCTTGCTCCTCACAAGCCAGCCACTCTGTCCTTCATCAAGGTCCTCAAAAGCATCAGAGTCCTGTCTGCCTTAGTCCTGTGCACATGCAAGTCCCCTCTGCCTCGTGTTCTGGGTAATGCTTAGGCTCCCTTCAGGTCCTCAATTATGTATCACTTTCACAGGGAAGCCTTTCCTGACAACCATAAACTGGGTCAGCTCCTTCATGATGCCCTCTCAGAATCTTAAAATTTTCACTTTTAGCATTAATCACAGTTGCAGTGATGGAATTGTTTCTGGAGTTGGCAGGTTTGCTATGAGCTCTACAAGGGCAAGCACCATGACTGTTTTGCTCTCACTGCCTTTCCTAGGTCTGGTGCCTAGTAGGTACCCAACCAGTTTTTGTAGATTAAGTAAATAAACAAAAACTAAAAGTAGTTTTTAAAAAAACATTTGCCATTTTAAAAAGCACAGTTTATGAGTGAATTGATGAATTTCATCATTGTAAACATAAATGACCAAATTTATTCAACTTGCAGTACGATTGAGAATGACTAGTATTGGTAAAAGCCATCAAATAAAATTTGAATGTAAGATGGGAACCTGTAAGGTCTGAAAGCCTGGAAGATCTCATAGCTCCAACCAAGGTGGATTCACTGTATATGTCATCTATCAGGTACTTTTTGAAACATACTACTACTATAGATATTTAGATCCTAGTATAAATATTATTTCACGGTATAGGTGGAAATTGGCATATAGAATTTTCAAAACTTTCCCTTCCTTTCTTTCTGGCATAAACTAGATTTGACAACAAACATTAATTTCAACATTACTAAAATATTAGCATCACATACGAGCAGTGTGATTTACATCCAGAACTGCCATATAACTTAAAAGCAATTTGAACATTTTCTTATACATCTGGAAACACTGGTTGTACTAACAAGGATTTTTTTTTCCCAAGACACCCTAGAATTTTTAAGATATTTATATCTCTACATACACTTTCTTGGAGGACTCTCTGGCTTCTTTTCTGTCTCATAGGAATGTAAAAAGTTAAAAAAGATATAATTTTGAAAAAAATTCTTGGAGTTCCTATGACATTAAATGCTTTATAATAAAGCATTATTATCATCATAATTTGGGGTTTATAAAAGCTTGTTATCTGATAATGTGATGTGGAGACTTCCTAAAAAGTTGCCACTGGAAACTCAGTTAAATCCTTATAGTTCATGGCACAAGCAGCTTGGCACCGTGAGGAGCCATGCAATCTTTAATAGACATTTCATGAGCACTTAATATGCTTTCAGAGTTCTTGGGGGCAACACAGGTATCATAAGAAGAAGAATAAAATTTATATCCCAATGAAAAATGCAAAAGTGAAAAAGGAAACAAATAATTTAAATTCAAAAGAAGCAGTTGAGGGGACAATAAACACATACAAAGATGTTCAGCATCCTTGTTATTAGAGAAATACAAATCAAAACCACAATGAGATACCTTTATACCCATTAGGATGGTTACAATAAAAAAGAGACCATAACAAGTGTTGGCAAGGATGTGGAGAAACTGAAACCCTCATACAGTATTGGCAGAAAAGTAAAATGGTGCAGCCACTTTGGAAAACAGTTTTGGCAGTTCCTCAAAATGTTAAACAGGTGAGTTACCATGTGACCCAGCAATTCACTTCTAACCTTATACCAAGAAAACTGAAAACATATGTTCACACAAAACTTACACACAAATGTTCACAGAAACATTATCCATAATAGCCAAAAAGTGAAAACAATCAAATATCTATCAACTGAGGAATGGATTTTTGTTTATTCACATAATGGAATATTATTCAGCCTAAAGAGTAATGAACGGCTGGATGAACTTTGAAAATATTATGCTATTTGAGAGAAGCCAGGCACAAAAGACCACATATTGTGTGATTTACTTTATATGAAATGTCCAGAATAGGCAAATTCACAGAGACAGAAAGTAGATTAGAGGATGGCTGGGCTGAAGGAAAGGGAAACGGGAAGTGACTGCTAGTGGGTATATGCTTTCTTTTTGGAGTGATGAAAATGTTCTGAAATTAGGTCAAAATGATGGTTACAGAATCTTGTGAATATACTAAGAACTCCTGAATTTCTTACTTTAAAAGAGTGAATTTTATTGCATACAAATTATATTTCAATTTAAAAAAGCAGCTTGGTAATCAGATGTGAACATGAGAATACCAGCTGCTTGATTTTAGCTGCAGCAGTGAACAAGTAACTTGCTGTTCTTCAGTTTTTTGGTCAAGAAGTGGGATTAAGCATTCTAATGTGTCACACGGGTATGTTAGTTGGCTCATCATTGCCAATACATACTTTTACAGTGAAAAAGACATTTTATTTTAATTTTCACAATTTTTCTTAAGAAGAAAGCCTTAATATGTACTTCATATGATTAAATCTTTCGTTTGATTTACTTATTTAATCCACAAGGCTGTACTGTGCCTGAAGAACAACCCTGGGTTCTAGGAGAGAAGAATAAGAGAGGATGTGGCAGTGATTAAGCCAGACAAATCTAAGCCTGGGCCCTAGTTCCACCAATTGCCAGCTATAAATGACTAGGAAAATTACCTAACCTCTCTATGCATCAAATTCTTCATCACGGGGACCACAGTACATACCTCACAGGATTTTTGGTGAACTAAATGAAATAATATTAAATCGAATGCTTAGTAGAGGCACCTGACAAACAAATATACTACGGAGTCTCCAAATGTATTATTTGTGTATTATTTGTACTTTTAATGGTAAATGTTTGAATGTGTACTTTGTAATATATGTTTATTTATGAATTAAATATACGTATGACTATTTTAAAATCATATGTAGAGTACAAAACATACACAAAATGGAATTAAAATGCTTAGGATTAAAAAGACAAAATTATTTTCAATTTTTCTTCCTGAATCGGAATGGGTTGTCTTTGGTACACACTTTCAGGGATGAGCACAGCCCTCTTAAGAGATCACTGAGTTGGCAGTCAATACATACAGTCCCTGTTATTATTATTTTTTCTGCTCATTTTCTCTGTCCCCCTTCTTCCAGTCTTTCATTCATTCTGTAATATGCTAGGAACTGGGAGCATAAAGAAAACAAGACATACTTCTGTCCTCATAGAGTTCACAGTCTACAAAGGGAGACTTGAGAGGTATTATATAACTGGAATTCTAATGTACTGTGAGAAATACAACAACAGAGGTATAAGTAAGATGTCTGTGGAATGCAGCACAGATGTGACTAACCGCCCAGTGGAATTATAGAAAATCTCACAGAAGTCTAAGGTGGCATTTGAGAGTAATTAAATTTGTTGACAAATGGAGTTAGTGGCCTTCAGAAGGACTCCCACCACTGGCAGGCAGTATTGAAGCTGAGGCTGAAGGAATAGGTAGCTGGGATATTCCCTATATTTCACTGCAATAATGGAAATAGATTGATTCATTAATTTATTCTGTAGAAACTTACTGAGACCCTATTATGTGCCAGGCACTGTTGATGCTATATTTGCTTAAAACTCTGCATTTCCATGACTTTATTTCATACAACAGCAAAATGTATTCTGACAACACCTTGGAAGGGGCAGCCAAAATCCAGCGGAGAGAAGAAAGCAACTTTCCCCAGCATCACTAATAAAGCAACTGGTGGTGGAGTCAGGTAATTAACTTAGTCTTCTGAAATGTTTTTGATTTGCAATCTCTTAAATCATTCAAAATCACCAGAAAGGCTAAATCATTTATTCGTTATTTTTAAGAAGCTTTGCAATAAAGTCTTTGCATTAAAGTGGACTCCAGCACAAGATGTTATCTAACTAAATTACACCACTGCTGAGAGGCAAAGTGGCTTATGTAATACTATCTCTGAAAGGCTCAAAATGTTATGTATAACTCAATTTCATCTCAAAATATCCTTGTAGGAAAGAGGGGAGACATTATCAATCAGATTTGTCCTGGGAACGAGGCAATGGTCTGAAGGCTATACACAATTCAGCTGTGCTCAGATTCGCAGGCCAGTCCTTCGCTCTCCAAGCCATTCAAGTCATTCGTTTTCACTGATCTTTCTCCAGACATTATTGGGAGCCTAAGCCAGTGAAGTTACAAAGACGATTAAGATACGGCCTTGCTTTCACACACCCTACATCTATCAGGGCAATTGAGAGCTACAAAGAAGGTATTCCAAAATAAGGTAGTATATGTTGAGGTATTAGTAATGATCACATAGGTCCTTGATAATGATTAAAAGGAAAACTGATAACTCCAGCAAAAACATAAAACATATCAAACAGAAACAACCTTTCAACTTGATGCCCTTCGCCCAATCTATTCCTTAAGCTGCTAG